ACTAGAGGTAAAGATACTTGACTATTAACGCTCTTTTAAAGGAGGCACTGCTCAGAGAATGCACTTGCTTAGGGGTAATTATCAATGACCACCAATGTGGTGGCTTCTAGAGTTTCAGTTCAAAGTTATGTGGATCGTTTATTAGTCTTAAGGGCAGTGATGAAATCTGTGTTTAGTAATGTTTGTTCTACTGATTCTGTTCCAGAGCCTTGAACTCCAGCTCAAGCTGCTCTTTCAATGTTCAGTTTTCTGAAACACTTATCTGGGGCATCCTGATACTTGTTTTCTCTAGAAAGTAATTAAATCTATTTGCAGTATGTACACATGGATAAATCCTTGTCTCCCAACTCATTTACCATGACTTGTGCTGAAAGCTGTGTGTCGCAACTGTTGTTCAATTTGGTTTATTCTGTACCTTTGGTTTTTAAGTTTTATTTCTGCAGGCATTAACCATATTGGATGGTTTTCCGCATGTCAGTTGTTGTGAAGTGCAGTTCAGCTTTGACAAAACTGAACAATTTATCACAGTTGAATTGCGAGGTCTGTTTCCCCTCTGCTGTTGCTGACCTAAAAATATTCATCTGCATGAATAAGCAGAATTTTTTGTAGTATAATTGAGTGTAAGGTAGTGTAAGCAGATGGATTGGGTCCTTACAGGTGATTTGGAGGGTAGTGAAAGTGGTGATATACTTTGAAATATGAGCAACAAGTGATACCCCACAGTACAGAGAGCAGACATCCACAAAGAACTCTGCATTTCTCAAAGACAGATTGTGGCCCTTTTGTGTGACTATCCCTATCTTCCTGTAATGTGATGTGCACCAGTGGGCTCTGCTGTCTGTCTGTTGTTTAGATCCTTAAATGCTTTTTAAGCTAAACACCCTTTACAAGAAATCTTCCTCTCTCAAGGCTAGACTGGTTGGACTTAGCACCTTGTACCAGGAGATGGAATAAAACAAGTAGCATTAATCTCTAAAAGTGTTTATTTTGTTGCTTATTTATCACCTACAGTTCACTGCACAATCTATAATTTTTTGTCCTCTTTTTTTTACTAGTGAAATATATTCTTTGGTGTTAACATGTCATATAATACATGCAAAGTAAAATTGTATGAAAGCTAAATTTTCCTGCTTGTACTTGATCTCTAACATCCTGTACATACTGAAGACAGTGCTAAGCCAGTGGTTTTGAGTGCCTGCAGGAATATCTATGATAGCATAGAACTGCAGCTGTGATTAAGCAGACCTTCACAGAGCCCATGTAAGTGTCCTGAAAGTGTGTGGTACAGCAAACTCTGCATCTTGTTTCATCAGTTATGATGCTGCTGTTTAGGCACACAGGTGAAGTTTGATATTTTGGGATCTTTTAAACTGAAAATGAAAGAAATTTCTTTTTTTTTTTTTTTCCCCGCATAGCTGGAAATTGAAAATGCAAGATTAAGGAGTCTAAATATCTCCCTATCCGAGGTTCTTCATGCACAGTCAGTAACCAACATGATTTTGGAAGATGAAGGTGTTCTAGGCAGCATTGAGAACTCTTTTCAAAAGTTTCATGCTTTTTTAGATCTCCTTAAAGATGCTGGGTAGGTTGTCACTCTAAGTCTTGCTGTTTTTCCTGAGATCTTTCCAAAATTATCCTCACAATGAAGTATGCTGCCTGCTACCCTGCCAGATTTCTAAGTCTGTATTCTCAGAGAGCACAGGAAAATAAATTAGCTATGTACCTATTGTTCAGTCTTTTCCTAGTGGCAAAAGTATTGTCTAAGTACTGTTCAGCTGAGTTCATTCATCTGCCTTTGGAAAAGATTTTCAAGAAGCCTATTCCTAAAAAACAATAGAAAGCTTCTATTAAAGCACGTTTCCAAGTCTTTAGTGAATCACCTTTGGCTCTTAGCATTCCCACAATATGAAAGGCTCAAAATGCAGTTGAACTGCCTTCAGAAAGTGTCCTGTTATCTTGTGCTCTCCATTCACTAATTGAAGTATGGAAATCTATCTCCAGCCTCTGTATTTTAAGTCTGTATTTATTGTTACTACTACTAGTACTAGTACTAGTACTAGTACTACTACTACTAATACTAGAGTTATTTCAGAGAGAATATTGATTAACATTTATATTGCCACTGTACCTGAAATTTTTCAGAGGATGGTTCATCCTTCCCATTTTTCAAAGAATTCCCGCTTGAACCCAATTTGTAAAGCTTGTATGACCAAGCACGACAGACTCATCCACAAGAAGGCAATAATTTGAATACGTATTGTAGTCTACTCTGTGTATTCAGAGAAGATGACAAGAAGATTTTATTTGTCCTCTCTATCTCCCACTTCCAAATTGTAGAGATATAACTCAGGACCTGAGTGACAATGGCCTCAAATTGTACCAGGTGAAGTTTAGAAAGGACATTAGAAAAAATTTCTTCTCTGAAAGTCTGGTCAGACATTGGAACAAGCTAGCCAGGAATGTAGTGAAATGGCCACCCCTGGAAGTGTCCAGAAAACATCTGGATGTCGTGCTTAGGGGACATGGTTTAGTGATGAACCTAGCAGTGTTAGATTAATGGCATGACTTGGTGATATTAAGAGGTCTTTTTTCAGCCTTAATGATTCCCTGATTCAATGAGTCTAACTTACTGTAAAGTTCACCCTGAGGCTGTGTTTTAATTTTTGCAACAATTTGTAGAGTTGCGTTACTACACGAGATTCAAACCTCTCAGGAAGGGAAAGATGCATTTTCACTACCTGAAAAAAAATTTCTTTTTATGGGCACTATGTCTATTCATAGTAATAAGGAGATACACTGAATGTTACAGAATCCCAATCATAAAGAATGGTCTTCTCCGTAGGCTTCTGTATATCATGTGCTATGCTATCAGTTCATGACTGCAACTTTCCACTTTTTACTGAGGCTTAAAACTCACATGTGATTGGTTTGGCCAACTTAGAAGCTGGCAGTCACCCACCATCATTGGGTGGGTGAAGCTTGTCATTGACATGTTAAGAGATTATGTGATTTGGAGACGTGCACCAATTTCTGCTTGAATGACAGAATTTTAATCTTTGTTCTGCCTGACATGGAATCTCATTGCTGGTGTGCTGTTCTGAGTTCAGTGTTGACTAGGAGAGCTTCATTCTCAGCCTTGTAACGCTTGTTTTGAATCTGCAGGCTAATTTGTGCAAAGACAAGAAAATATCTTCAGCTTACCTTTTGTCTTAGTTAAGATACTCTGAGCTTCACATAAAGTAATAGAAAACTATGTTCAAAGCTTTAACAGATTCTACTTCTGTTTTTGAATGTTTAGTCTTTCAAAGAGTAAGAATAGTTTGTGTGATTTTCTGTTAAATGTTTATTTTACAGGCTTGGACAACTTGCTGTATTAGCTGGGATAGACCAATCAGATTTTGGTACTTTGGGGCATCCACAAATGCATGTTACTCTCAGTAAGCCTGTGAACATGGTAAAGGAGAAGTCTTTTGAAGAAGAAAGACAGGAACATACTGAGAATAGCAAAGTAAGTCTTTATAAGTAATGCTAGAGGCAATTCTACTTATACTCTAATGTACTTTTTAGCTGTTAATCCCCCTCTGATTAATGAAGTTATTACTGCAACCGCTTGCTGTAGCTGCATTTATACACATCATAATAATTCAGTGATTAATGTAAGCTTTTAAAGTGTTTACCACTCAGAGCACAGACTGCAGTATTTTGTAATGTATTAAACTTTGGTAGTAATTGTGTTGTTTCCTAGTCTGAAATAGGACGTTCCAGTAGTGGAATGCAACCATTCAAATTGGAAAACACCATGATAATTCTTTTGAGAAAGATTTAATAATGAAGTATAGTGTTTTTAAGAACCCTGATCTTACAGGAGAGGCTATACAATGTACCTTCTGAAAGTCATAAATTATATTGTAAGTAATTACAGTGTATATGTCCAGTCCTGATAGATTTCTCTGTGGCCATGACATGAGCTTCGAGCAACTACAAATTTATAGTATTTGTAAATATTGCATAGGGTTTTAGGTTCTACTCTATGAATTATTAGTAAACCTTGAAGATTTTTCAAAGGAGATATTAAAATTCCTGTAACAAAAAAAAAACAACCAAACCCCAGCCTTTTTTAAAGACTGTTAAAAATTTAGATGCTGGAGGCCTATAGCTACATCCAAGTTGAATAAAACTGCTGCACCAGAAATCTGCATTCCAGTGTGTTTCTTATATCCAGAGTCTCCTGTTTTAATTTCCTAGAACACATGAGCTCTTTAAATATAATGTTAAAAATTTGGGGGTTGTTTTAACGGTGTGGAGAGAACGTCCAGTTTTGCAGTTTGAAGACTCTCATTCTTACCTCCCAATATTGGTGATTGGTTTGGGTTCTTGTAGCAGCTAGGTATTGTGGAATAGAGTGTTGAGACTACACTTCTGTGAATTTCTAGTAAACATAAATAATTGCAGGTGTTTCAGGGTGATGGATGTGATTGGCTGCTTTTGTGTAACTGACACATCTCTGGTATAAATTTTAAGCTAGATGTGAAACTGTAAGGTGTCTACTGTATCATTATCACCCTAGCAATCTTCAGAAATCAGTTTTGAAAGGTGATAAAGATTGTTCAATTGCTATTACTTTGCATCTTTCCTATGTTAGGTAAAAGACTGTATTTTGCTCTGCAGACTCCAGTATATATGGCAGTTGCAAAACTGGCTTTTTTTTTTCTCTGGTTGCCTAGTTTTTTTCATTGGAGTCTTTTGTTTCAGAACAGAGCTGGGGACATCCAACTTCCTCTTGCTGGCACATTTCAATCCCAGATGGTTGTGAATAATGCCTTTTCATCGCTTAAAGAAATGAGAGAACTTCATGCTGCTGGACAGCAATATCAGACAGGTTTGTGGAAGGAAAATGAAGCCCAAACAATTAACCAAAATAAAGAGAATAAGCCTCGAAGTAGTACTCCAGTATTGTCTGAGAGGAGAGTCAAACAAAATGAACAAGCAGAAGGACATCACTCAGCAAGGCAGTTGGCTACCAGTCTGCATTCATTTGCTGATTCCAGTGTACAAATCAGAAGTGATGATAGCAGAATATCTAACGGTATTCCTGGTGAGAAAAGCAAAAATTATTCCTCTAAGAAACACATCCCTGTAGCAAATGAAACAGCAGCTGCAAGTAACGGAGTGAGAGGAGAGAAAGGTAGACTGCAGGTAGTAAATGTTAGCTCTGGAACTGATACTGTAGGATCTGTCTCTGAAATACAAGAAAGTATACCCAGTGTTACCAGCATTTGAAGTGGTTCTAAAATGTTTGAACTGTTCTTTACACTTGCAAGATTATGTTTTGAATGTCTCAGTATAATTAGTGTATTTTTTGTAAAATTTTGTAAACTTTTGACTTTTTAAAGCATTGCATACTGCTCAGTATTCCCGTTTCATGCTTGCATTCTTTGTCACTAGATTTTTACTTTTGAAAACATGTGATACACCCAAAATGGTACTCATGAGTTTGTACTACACATGAGGGACTCGACATATGGATTTCATTATCACTGATTTTTGAGCTAATAAAGTTAATTTGAGTACAGTTTTTTCCTAGTGTTTATTTACAGTGTATTCCAGTGGGAGTGCAGAAGTGGTTTTGGGGCAAACATCAATTCCTGCATAACCGTGTGTGGGTATGATATTCTGAAAATTAGTGGAAGTTTCAGAGTCAAAAATGAGCCCAGAACTATTGCTATAGGAAACCTTTAAATACAACCATCATTAGTGCTATGACTGCAGATCATGTTGGAAGGGGCCTCTGGAGGATGTATAGTCTCAGATTGCTCTCAGGACATAGAGAAATGTGAGAATGTAAAACCAAGAGAATTACCTTTGTTTTAAAACTTCTGGTATTTAGTTGTCCCTGGCATCTTGTTCTTGTCCTTGTGCACAGGCAGCTGGTTTGCAGCTTCTGAAATAGAATATACTTATTAGATACAGGAACTAGGCAGGATGATTTAGGCTGAACTGGGAGAAAAAGCAGCCTTTAACTATTTTTTACTCAGTCATCTGCTGTGTGATTTCTGGAACACATAAGATCTGTAGAAATTCCTGACTGCAGTTGTTTGACAAATATGAAAAAACTCATGAATCCTCAAATTCAATCCTACAGAGCAAATAGCACAAGATTATCTTAGCTATTGCAATATTGCACTAGTAATTGCACAATGAAAGTATGTTCTTTGTATTGACTTTGTCCCTTCAGAATATTAGAAGGTAATATATTAATCTGTTACTTCTTGCATATTTTCCCAACTGCTTGCCTAATTTTTCAGTCATTCTTTGTTTGTGATTTTGGTCTGACTAAACAATTATGTGCAATCTGTATATTCAGCAGTTAAAAGCTACCTTTTTAAAATATAAAATTTTAAAGCTAATCACTGAGAAATTCTGGATAAAATTATAAATTCAGAAGTGTTTTATTTGTGGGGTTAGGAGTTAGGAATCTATTACTTGTCCCTAAAAATACCATTAAGAGCTTAGAAGAATTTATATATATTACATGTCCAAAAGCAGGTGATATTTGATACCTTTCATGTTAAATGCTTGCTTTTCGATATTTGCATTTAGAGTATGAATTATGTCCAAAATAATCTTTTAAAGCAAAATTGACTAGGCAGTTTGCAATTTAGATGGGCATACTTTTTTCCACTGGATTAATACTTAACCTTTCTTTTCATGTTAAATTAGGAACATGAACGATTCTTTGTGTTACTGGTGCTATGGTATTGCACTCTTACTGTAAGAATCTGTAGTGCATGCTTTATATATAGTCAGATCTGAAATTGGCAGAGACAATGGATTGAAGCTACTTGGGGAGAAATATTCTTTTTGAGGCTCTCATGAATACATCAGAACTTCCAAGGTTTTTTCTAACAATTTAAAAGCTCATTTACGAAAAGTATTTTACACATATAAACATATATATTCTATATATATTTAACAGTATTCTAGTAAAAAGTAAAAACATTTTTATTTTAAATTATTAGGAAACCAGTTTCTACCCTGAGATTGAATAGAAACAGTTTCATTCTCTTGCTATTAGTTAATGTTTTACATAATTGTCTGTGTTCTTCTTTGACCTAAAAGCCTGAAATCAATAGGCCAGCTATTTGCTAGAGAACATGTTGTTTACTCATAAAGCTCAATAATTTTTCTCTTTGTCTTCCCAATACCTACTCTTCATAGTTCAGGACTTCGATCTCTGAAAAACAAAATAGCCCCAAACCGTTGTTTGAACCACTTAAGTGTAAGGTTTCACCAAAATTTGCTCATCTCACTAGTTCGCTGGACCAGATATCCCAGCTGCCTCCTGAAACGCTTGCCAGGTTGCTATGTAGTCAGCATTATTTGTCTTTTAATAATGACGTCCATTTTTGGTACCAGACAGAGAACTCATGTACACATGCTCTCCTTGAGTGAGCTGGTTCTTTTCCAGCAGTAGTCAATCAAGGTTTTGCTGTCCAACATAACATGAAGTCACAATGAACCTAATAAAAGTTCACTGAGAACTCTTAAAATTTATTTACACTCTGTCTTTTAATCTGTCTTGTTTTTCCAGTTATGCATCATAATAAATACAGCTCTCTTTGCTGTTATGTTAATTACGCAAATCCATGTTCATCTGCATGGACTGATTTGTGGCACTTGAAATTCTCTGTCAAATGGTAGAAGTCAGAAGCATTCCTGGAAATCATGGTTTTGAAAGCTTATATTGGGTGACTATAAATATTGGTATGATTCCATGATGGAACTCATGGTTTTTGATGTAATTAAAACATGAAATGATAATTGCTGCTAGCAAAATACTAAAATAGGAGCAATCTCAATCCAATACAAACAAAACTGTAATGAAACCTATACTATTTCTCTTTATTCTTTCAGTCTGCAAAGGCATAATGATCCCTTGTCTGCAAGAAAAATTTCCCATTTATGCATTCTTTCCAATTTTATATATTTCTCATCAATGCACAGTATGAAGGGGGTTTTCTAAAGCTTCTGGGTGACAAGGCTTCCAGTGGAGTTGTCTTCTGATCCCATGGGAGCTGCTATTTTTGACCCTTTTGGTCAGGATGAGGCTTCTGTGAACTGAAAGTTCCAATACCTGGTTTCTACCAGTGCTCTGAGCTGATACCAGCACTAGCTTGCCTTGTTTCTATTTTTGTGTTCTGGCTCTTTGTGCCAGCATTTGAAGTGTATTTTTAACTCCAAAGTTTTAATTTCCCTTGTGGTTTCTGCCACACAATTGGGATTCAAGACTGATCCTGGCAGGATGTTGAAGCACTTTCTATAGTAGTGGGCAGGTTTCCTGACCTGAATTCCCAACCTACACTGTTTCTGACTGCTCCCACTACCCCCTGCTACCTTGGATACCATTTTCCTAGCCAGAGTGGAGTTTTAAGTTGCCTCTCTGGGCCTACACGGGTGCTTTAGATTTAATACTGCAAAAAGCCCATATGAGAAGCCTGTGTCTTTTGATCTTACTTCTACTTGAGACACTAGTAAAAAAATATTTTAGTCACATCTATGTTTAGTCACATCTAATTTTTGTCATATCTAAGCACTTCACTAGCAGTTTCTATTTAACTAAGAAGTAACACAGTTGTTCTGGGTATTGTGGTGTGAGACATACTTTAAAAATACTTAGGTGTTTTGTAGATAATGTGTCCAACCTGTGATGTCTGTGAAGTTTGCTATTATCTCTTAAAAACTGCAGAGATTTATGGTGTCTAAAAGCAGTTTTGATAGGTTTTTCTTAAGCTGTAGCTGTCATTGAAATGAAAGTTATCTTTGCTCTAACACCAGTGTTTCTGTTTACAATTTTTTAAACAAAATAACTTTCTTAAGATGAAAATCTTTCAACTGAATACAGATCAGGCTGTGGTCTGTAAATTTTTTTGTGGTTCCAAGTGTCACCTGGTTTGACAGGAAAAGAAATAAATTCACGTAGTCAGATTTCTTCAGTGAAATAATTGGTAATGAAAAATGGTATTTTATATACGTCTCAGAATTCGCAAAATAACAGACATTGATACTTACAGTTTTCTTTAAAGGTGATTAATATTGATGATAAGCTTGGTGAACACCCATGAGACTAAAATAGGGCCAGCATTACAGGAAAGACTGGGCAACGTAATGAGTTCAAAAGCTGTGCTTTGTACAGCTACATATGAGAATTGTGAAAATCCTGCCCAAGATACTTGGAAATTATGAGACTCTTTGATGCCCATCTGTTTTCAGTCATAATTCATGGCTTGCTTTGTCAAAATTGGTTTACTGCTACTGCCTTTAAAATAACTTCGAAAACTGACTTGGGCAGAAAGTCTCTCCCTGAAACAACCAGAAAATAGAATGAGCTAAAGTCTCTTTCTCTCAGTTACAACAGTTCAGTTGTACAACCTCTGTGTCTCAATGAACCAAGATACTGCAGATACCTTGCGTAGATACCTGTGGGAGGAATGCTTCAGTATTCAGGGATATTAGCCCAGGATTTGGCATACCTCAAGGCAAGTCCAAGCTATGCTATCCATTATGTGAAGGTGATCAAGTTTCACAGCTCTCCTGTTTTTACTCTCTTTGATGAGATTCAAATAGCAATTTGCCTGCAACAGACTTTTTGGGGAAACTGCACAAAATGCAGACACTTGATGGCTTATAGAAGGCAGGGATCCTCCTCTACAAGGTAAGTATTTCACTGAAAATATTAGAAGATCTGGGTACTATAAACCCATCTGTGACAAGATGAATCACAGAAACGGTCTGGTTGGATACAGTGGGTGATCTTCAGCCTCACAGCTTTATTAGGGACATACCAGAATACATTGCACAGGATTGTACCTGGATGGTTCTTAAGTGTCTCCAGCGAGGGAGACTCCACAACCTCTCTGGGAAACACGTTCCAGTGTGTGGTCATTTGCACAGTTAAGTTCTTTATCGTATTCAGGTGGAACTTCCTGTACATCAGTTTCTGTCTTGCCGCTTGCAATTTCATACGAAAGATGAAGGATCTCCTAAAATTCACTGTAACTGTGGGTCGCTCCTTTTTAAGTTCTCACCCCTTCACCCAGACTGCTTTTGGAACAAGCAGCACCCGCGCGGGGGAAAAAGCAGAGGCAGGAAGTTACCGTAGGACTTGCATTCCCCGTGTGTGCGTGTGTCTGTCTGTGAGTCTGTCTGTCCGCACGCCCGCGCAGCGTGGGCGGCTCGTGCGCGCCAGAGCTCGCCGTGGGGAAGCGCCCCCTCCCCTCCCCTCCCCTCCCCTCCCCTCTCCCCTTGCTGCCCCGCCCGGCCCGGCCCGGCCCGCCCCTCTCCCCTCACGCCGCCTCACCGCGGCAGCGCTGCCAATGGGCTGCCGGGACAGCGGTGGAAAGTGCCGGGCCCCGGCGGCCGCGGGTTTATAGCGGAGGGCTAGCGGCGCGGCCGGCAGACGGAGCGGGAACGGCAGCATGGCAGCGGCGGAGGGAGGGCGGCAGGTCGCGAACTTCGGCGCCGGGCCGGCGAAGCTGCCGCGCTCCGTGAGTAGGGGCTGGGCTGGGGCACGGCGGGGCTGGGTGTCCTCGTACCCCCGGCTCCCCGCGGGGCTCCGGCTGCAAAGCGAGGGATAAGGAAACTCTAACACTCAAGTCGTAATCACAGGCGTTTACCCTGTGATTTTCAGCACAGCGCTGAAACCTCTTATCTTCCCCCCTTTTCCGACGAACTGCCCTGATAAGCTCGGATTTTTGCAAACTAGCTCGAGTGTGTTTCTTCGAATATCCTCTAGGTTTTTTTTTTTTTTTTTTTGGTTTTTTTTTTTTTTTTTAATTGCTGAATGATATGGCACCAGCACCTATATCGTTAGTTTTTGGATGGGAAGTAGGACCTAAGCGTACAAAGATAGCTCTGTGGAGTGTGAGATTTGTCAGTTGATAAATAGCATGGCAATTCCCTGAGACGCCTTTTGATAAGGAGTTGTAATGAATGTGATGTACACTCAACCCTCTGGAAAGTTGCATCAGCAACCATGGATTATCCAGTTACATATGGAAAGGGGTGGTTTCTGCCGAACTGTACGTACCTGACTCTCAGTTTAAGGGTTATCTATTGTGGAATTTTTGTTGTTGTTTTCTTAGTATCTTTCATAGTATTCTTCATAGTTATTTTATGTGTTACGTCTTTAAAGAAATTATTTAGATAAACAGATTTGCTGCAGAACAGCTTTCTTGGTTTTATTTGTTTGGGTTTTTTTTCCCCTCCCTTCTCTTTTCTCGGGGAAATGTCCTTCGTGGATAAGGTTGCAAAGCAATTTGTTGTTCTGTGTCGAGCTCAGGATTCCAAAGGGGCTCTTACAGGCACTGCTTCCGTACCCAGCTCTCTGACAGAGATGGTTAAAAACTAGATTTAAGTTTTGAGGAGTGCGGGTGGGCACAGCTGAGCTCCCTATTATTAATCTGTTTGCCGTCTTGAAAGAGCAGTGCAATTGTGTGGACTGCTGTATCACCTCCTTGGTTTGTTTCTCTTGATTGTGGGCTGATGCTGCCCATGAAGCACGCAGACTCGGTAAAGCAGAAGATGGAGCAATTAATAGATTATAACTTGCTGACCGGGTATCTGCATGGCCTGTCAGCTATACCAGAACATGTACCAGACAATTGTAACTCGTGTCACAGATGTCTGTTGTGGGGCACGGGCAGATTTTCAGATGATGAATGTTACTGACAGAATTGGATTGTATCAAGCAGTTTAGCAAGCACTACTACTCTAGCAGTCTGTGTGATCTCCCTTACTTTTTTTGCCTCCTCTAGGGTGAATAAGTTTGCTTGTAAAATGTGGTGGTTAAAACTTCACAATCTTTTAGTTGACCTTTTGGTAGCCAGCTGTTACAGTTGACAGGCCATGCAGCTACCCCGTCAGCAAGATTTCTTATTCCTGAGATTGCCCAGGGTGTGCAGTTTCTTGTCAGATACTAGGGTGCATGTGTGCAGCATTTGTTTGGTTCTACTGGGGCTCCCTCTTCTCCTGCTTCCTTTAGGAGCAGCCAAGACTGTTCTGGCTCTCAGACAAGAATTTTCCAAAATCAGAAGCTGCAAATCCAGTGGTTAGAATCTCACGCTACTTTGTTCATACTTAAAAGCTAGGGAAGAAGGCAGGGGAAAAAAAAAAAGATAGCTGAAGCACTACTTGGGTGGTGAACTGTTGTTTTTTTTTGTTGTCTCAAAATTTTGCTTAATTTCTTTCTTAACTCTCAATAAGATAGAGGCTCGTCTTCAAAAAGTGTGGAACTTCATTTTGTGAAACCAGTCATCGTCATGTTGTCATTAAGATATCCAATTCCCCAGACTGATCTTTCTTGTTATGTTTTCTTCAATACTTTTGGTCACCCTATTTGTTCAAGTGAAAGGACAGAGGATGGAGTGGTGGGAATGGGTATTTAGGACACTTGCTTAGAAAGAGCTAATGTTTGCAAACATTAGATGTTCTGGAAAGGTTAAGAGTTCCATTCAACTTCTAGAAATCATTCATGAGTCTGGAAATGTAGCATTTGAAATAATAACTTACAGCATGGTCTCCACAACAAGCATATTATTTAAGTTTCTATCTTATGAAAAGCCTTAAGCTTCTAGGTACAGCAAAATTGTATTGGTAACTATACTTCTGTTAATCTCACTTGACAAGTGTCAAGTTATTGCAATATGGGGCAGCTGGCATAGGCATGATGCATCAGAGACTCCAGATAGTGGAAAATTCCCTTGATTTATTTCTGGATTTTTTTCTTTTGATAGGTATTATTAGAAGCACAGAAAGAACTGGTAGACTATAAAGGACTTGGTATAAGTGTTCTTGGTAAGACTTAAAAAATTTACTCTTTTCATGATTTTGTTGTTTAACTGAATTGTTTAATAAAACTTCCTGATCTTTTGGCTCCATTTCTAATACCTGTGTGTCTGTACAGATGTGTATAGATACCATATAGATGTATAGCATCCTTCCCATTAGGAAGGCAGTGCTCTCCTGTTGGCTGACTTTTCAGCCCCACTTACACAAAAGATTTATGCATCAAGATGGTGAGCATATTATTAGTTGCTAAAAGTAGAACATGCAGCTGTCTCTGTGCAATTCAGATTAATGTTTAAATTGTACACTTACACATGGAAGACAGCTTATGGATTTAAAAATAATTACTATATAATTGTCCTTAATGTTTAATTAGCTTTACTGTGTGAAGAAGCCTTGCTAAAGGTAAGAGAACAAAACCTGTACTTTTTCTGTACTTTGTTATATACTTCTTACAGCATTAGCAGAAGAGAAGGTTCTTAGCAAGAGGTAGAATGAAATCTTTCAAGAGACTGGTTTTTTTTTACCCAGAAATGTGGTTATTCCTAGTGGTAATAAGGTCATATGGGTGTCAAATATCAATGAACAGGATTTGCCTGTATCTGGACACAACTGTAGGTGTAAGTCTTCTGTGGGTATTTAGGAGTATTTAGGTACTTAAAGAGGAGTAGGAACTGGGAATGACAACCTTCAGGCATTTTGGGTCTGTATTGTAAAAGGTTTAAAGCTTAACAAAATTTTAAAGTCAAATTCATGTATTACTGTTTCATGTTATTTCTTCTCTCCATTCCACGAAAGAAATGAGCCATCGGTCTTCAGATTTCACAAAAATTCTAAATACAACTGAAAATCTCATGCGTGAATTGCTGTAAGTAAATTACTTTCTGCTTATTTTAATTTTATGTGTGTGCTAGTTGCATCAGTAATGTTTAATGTGGAGACCTTTTCTTGAAAGCACATCTTTGTGTTTTTCCTGCATGGGTACTGTGTATTGTAGAGTAATAACCTTGAGGAGGACACTGATCTTCTTATATGTAAGTTATATTTTTGAATGTGACAATGGATTCTTATCAGGTTAAGATGTTTTTTTACATGTCTAGCTGAATTTGTTTTGAAATTTTGATTTTTGTCACCTTCATAGAATTAATGAAGGACATGAACTAAAAGAAATAAGTGCAGACAATAAAAATCAGTTCTCTAGTGGTATAAATGTGATCTGCACGTTGTCCATAAATTTTATTAACAAACGCTCCATGGATCAGTGTTAGAATCACCAAGCAAGAGCCCTCTTCCTATTCATAGAATGTCACATTTTAAAAAAATCAAAATAAATATATAATGGATTAGAATTACTGTCTCATAGTAGTTAATAATGTTGGCCATTTAACACAAGCGCTTGACCCTCAGTCCACCCAGAATCACTGACAAAGGGATTTTAATTAATAATTTGAATATGTAATTTTTGTGATTGTATGAGTGACTCTTTATTGCACTTGCCCTGCATGTATACTTTGCCGTACTGTTGCACTTTCAGATTGGAGGGTCTCAAAGCTGAGCACTACTGTAAGCACTTTAGTGACTTCATGACAGAAAAGTCATGAAGGTACCAACAGATACAATTAAAAGTCAACATTAATTGTGATGGAATATCTCTCAAGTCTGTCCCTACAGCTACTCAGGAGTGAGTTTGTTTCATGCAGTGCCAGAGTTGGGGAGAGGAAGCTTTTTTCAGAAAATTTTTATCACTAAAATTCATAGCATTTACTCTTAAATATTTAAGCTGTTTCTCAAGACCAGTGCTGAGATAAGTTAGTGGGATTGATCTAACCTCTAGGCAAAGAGTCTTCTAAAATGGCAGCGTTCTTCCTCAGTGATGGGTTAAATACATAATATCAAGTTGTATGCATCCTGTGTCACCTGGGAATAACATAAATGGTTATTTCTTTTATGCAGAAATATACCAGACAACTACAAAGTTATTTTCCTTCAAGGAGGTGGATCTGCTCAGTTCAGTGCTGTCCCACTTAACCTTATTGGCTTAAAGGAGGGAAGGCAGGCAGATTATGTGGTTACTGGAGGTTGGTCAGCAAAAGCAGCTAAAGAAGCGGAGAAGTATGCCAAAGTAAATATTGTTCATCCCAAACTAGGAGCCTATACAAGTAAGTTGATGATTGCATCTGTCCATGTGAATGCTTAGCTTTTTTAATTGCTCTAAAAATGGATCCAATGTAGCTATTGGGCTGTTGAATGTTAACTAGAGTTGACTGCCCAGCACTAGAAAGAATGTCTGCCCCTCCTTGTTCAACATTGGGAGATTTAGTAAATGGCTTAACAGTTTCCACTAGAAAAAAGTGGTGAAATGGGGCTGAGCAGATGCCAAAAAATAAGTGGCA